AGGGATGAAAATCTACCGATCAGGTGCGATGGACTCTGTCAACGGAAAAAAAAAGACCAAACTCTGTAAAATAATGTTAAAGAGATTTACTCTGAGCCAAATTTGAGGACCATGACTCGGAGCCATGCCCAAGAGGCCTTGAGCAGTGGACTCGCTGTGGCTGGGTTGCAGTTTGGTTTTACACATTTCAGGGAGACAGAGGTTACAGGTAAAGTCATTAATCAATACTGGGAGGCATACATTGGTTTGGCCCGAAAAGGTGGGCTATCTCAAAGCGGGGACAGGGGACTTACAGGTTTTAGGTGGGTTTAAAGATTCTTTGACTTGTAATTGGTTAAAGACATGAAGCTTTGTCTAAAGGCTTGGAATGTTTCAACATAAGGAGCTGTTTATCAGAGATGATGCCCACCAGACATCTATTCCTTGTGTAAATTGAGGGCCTGCAGGGGTGTCTCACATAGCCTTAGGCCTGTTAATGGGTTACAAAGGATGTCTCCAAGAAGAGAGGGGCCTTGATGGGCATGTCTGACCTCCCTCCTCCTGGCAGGCAATTCAGTTTTGGGATATCCCTTTGGCCACGAAGGGTCCATTCCATCAGCCGGCAGGGCGTGAGCCTTAAGATTTTATTTTAGTTCACAACACTGTTCTGGTGGCTGGTGCACCAAGACTGCAGCATTATACAATTCATCCATGTAAAAAAAACGCTTGTACTGAAAGGGGCGGCCTTGTAAAAATAACAGGAAAATATCTAATCCCACAATTTCCCCAGTAACAGTTAAAGATCAATCCTACGAATTCTCTCACTAACAGGCACCCTGCAGTTCTTTTTTGTACAACTTTTGAAAAGAGTTGAATGGACAGAAAAGAGATGTGAATCTCTCATCTAAAATTGTTTTTTTCAGAATGTTTTCTTACAGTCTAAAGAGTTTTTGAAAAAAAAAGAAAAAAATAGTTTTTGAGCTTTGTGCATACAGCAGGATGTGAGCTCCAAGCCTCAACCATATCTCGAGGACAGAGTCCTCTCTCCTGTGATAATGCCTTCTCCAAGGAAAGGCTGGAGACCCAACTCTTGGACTTGGACATTCTCGCAGGGCTTGTTATCTGCCTGTCACCAAGAAGAAAGAAGGGAGAGGAAGTAGTTTTTCGACTGTACTCTGTCATTTTATAACCCCCTTTTAAAAAGCCTCAATAGCTGGTTTTCAGGGCCGGCACATTTTTTTCCTTTTTTACCTCCATGTTTATCCTCCCCCCTACCCACCCTGGGAAAAGTAAATAAACCTCTTCTTTTCTATCCTAATCTTTGTCTGGAGAAATCTTTCTCAAAACCCTCATGCCCTAACATCTCCACCCTAACAGTACCCCCTAAATCTATTAAGATTTAAAAAAAAAAACAAAAAAGAAGGGCAACGTGGCTCATGCCTCTAATCCTAGCACTTCCGGAGATTGAGGTGGGAAGATCGCTTGAGGCCAGGAGTTTGAGACTAGCCTGAGCAAGAGCAAAACCTTGTCTTTATAGAAAATACAAAAATTAGCTGGGCGTGGTGGCTTGCATGTATAGTCCCAGCTACTTGGGAGGCTGAGGCAGGAGAATTGCTTGAGCCCAGGAGTTTGAGTTGCAGCGAGCTATGACGATGGTGCCAGTGTACTCTAGCCTAGGTGACAGAGCAAGACCCTGTCTCGAAAATAAAAAATAAAGTAAAATAAAAAGAAAAATGGGTCTTGGGGAAGTGAAGTAGCTGGTCCAAAAGCAAAGATCTCCGTTCTACTATACCTCTTTCCTTGGTGAATAAATGAATGACTGAATAAATGAATGATGTCTCTCACAGGGAAGTGGACAGAGGGGTAGGCAGCCTGCACATGGGTTATAGTTAAGTTCCTTTCTTTCTTCACCAGTCCAGCATTGCTCGGCTGCAGCGACAAGGAGGAGGTAGGACAGTGTCCCATGGTGTGGACCCTGACACTGCAGATAGCAAAGACCTCTGTATGTTGCCCTTGGAGGGATGGCTGTGTTATAGCAAATGTCACAGCGGGTGGTCCCGAGGACAAACCGAGCAGCACACCAGAGTTGGAGAATCAAAGTTTATTCGCCGGTGGGCTCAGAGGGGTCTCGCCACCAAATTCTGAGCCCCATCTACCCGATTTTTCCCACTTTTATTAAGTTGGGGTGGTCCAAGGGGTGGGATATCAGGTGGCCAATGCCTGCCAGATAATAGGTTAGTTGATGTGTCAGGTAATAGGTTTAGTGTTATGTTGATGCGCCAGGTAATAGATTGTTGATGGGCCAGGTAATAGGTTAGTATTATGCTGATGTGGGTCTTCCGTTAGGGGTGGGGGGGTCTCAGGTGGCTGATGTACCAAGTAATACATGGGGGTTTTCCTTGTCAGCTGTAGGAGCTTGGGGGTAGGCAATTTCTAAGGGGACACCAACATGGATCCTGTCCCATCCTCCCACTTGAGGATGTGTCTTGGAGAAAAGTTGAGCCATACCCTGCAGGATAGTTGAGATTTAGATAGGGGAGAGAAAGTTGAAAGAAATGGATGAGGGAAACAGTAAATAGTTACTAAATGCCTATCACATGCTTCATACTGTGTCAGGGAAAGAAATAGTGGGCAAAACAGACCCCACCCCTACCCTCATGGAGCTTCCAGTCTAGTGGAGGACACAGACATAAATAACCGCCTATACAAGTATTAGTGTTAATTACAATTGTTAATGGGAAAAAACCCAAACTTTGTAAAATCATTTAAAGAGGTTTATTTCAAGTAAAATATGTGTGGCTGCCAGCCCAGGGATCCAAAAATCCAAGAAGCCTTGAGTAAGGGGGTCCCAAGGTGGTCGGGTTACAGTTGCGTTTTATATATTTTAGGGAGACAGGGATTGCAGGTAAAAATCATAAATCAAGGCTGGTCCGATGGTGGTGGGTTATCAAAACTTATTAACATTAGTGTCACTAAAGTTGGTATTCAACCCCCCACTGCTAAATTTGACTGGCTAAAAAAAAAACACAACACCATAAGTCAATACATAGGAACTGTACATTGGCCGAAACTGTACATGGTCGAAAAAGGTGGGCATTCTCGAAGGGGTGGGGAGGATATAGGTTATAGATAGCCAAGGATTCTTTGACTTGTTATTGGTTAAAGAAGTAAAACTTTGTCTAAAGGCTTGGCATCAATAGAAGGGAATATTTGACTTAACATAAGGGAGTCTGCTCATCTGAGAGCTAGCCTCACATTCTCTTAGTGATTTGTTAAGCAAATCGATGGCCTGCAGGAGTGATTTAACCTTTGCCTTGCTTGGCCTTAGGGCCCATTGCAATTAGTCTGAACCCAGAAAGGGATGGGGGAATAAGGAGGCATTTAGACCTCCCTTCCCTTCACGGCAGGAAATACAGTTTTTTTTTGTTTTGTTTTGTTTTGTTTTTTTGAGACAGAGTCTCACTCTTTTGCCCAGGCTAGAGTGAGTGCCGTGGCGTCAGCCTAGCTCACAGCAACCTCAAACTCCTGGGCTCAAGCGATCCTTCTGCCTCAGCCTCCCGAGTAGCTGGGACTACAGGCATGCGCCACGATGCCCGGCTAATTTTTTGTATATATTTTTAGTTATCCGATTAATTTCTTTCTATTTTTAGTAGAGACGGGGGTCTCGCTCTTGCTCAGGCTGGTCTCGAACTCCTGAGCTCAAACAATCCGCCCGCCTCGGCCTCCCAGAGTGCTAGGATTACAGGCGTGTTTTAAGGTCTTTCTGGGGGGGTCCTCTTGGCCAAGAGGAGGTCTGTTCATTTGGCAGGGGCTTAGGGTTTTATTTTTAGTTTACATAATCTGCAATAGGTATTGGGAAGGAAAAGGACAGGGTAATAGGAGAGTTTGTGATGTTGGGAGGGGCTGATCGAACCTAGAGAGTGAAGGGAAGCTACCCTTGAGGAAAGGGCATCAGAGCTTGGATTCAAAGGGTAAGTACAAGTTAATCAGAGGATGATTGGGAGGAGTGTGGGCTAAGAGCATACCAGATGGAAAGAACACATATGCAAAGGCCCTGAAACCAGAGAGAACTAGGGAAGTTTGAGGAACTCGAAAGCCACTAGGATGGCTGGAATGCAAGGGGTTGGGCAGGAGGGGTGGGAAGAAGTAATGGGTGGGAGCATATTCTGTAGGACCTCGAGGGCAAACTAAGAATTTGGGCCTTTATTGAAATTAATTGAAAGATTTTAACAGAATGTTTCATGATAATTTTGCCCCCCTCAAACAGATCTCTGGTTACAACATGAAGAACTATAGACCAATTAACAGCCCTGTACTAGTCCAGGGTGAAAAATGAGTGGCTGGATTCAGTGACAGCAGAGCCGAATAAATAAGGTGGATTTGTGGAGAGTCAATCAGCCACCTCCCCCATGACTGAGGCTGAACTCCTTCACTCCATTAACGCTTGATGCCCAGGTTCAAATCCCAACACAGGTCCCACACTTGCCTCGGCCCAGGGATCCTCATCCCTAAAAGGATGAGACGACGACATCAGGGGACGAGCCCTAAAAGAGGCCAGCACAGTTCGGGTGGAGGGCTGTTGAACGGTCCTCGTATTTCTCTCTCTCTGAGCACGTTCTTCAGAGGAGAAACCCCTCTGCTTTGGCCCTTTCACCAGAGCCCTTTTCTAGTTCTCCCAAGGCCTCCCTCTTCACCGGTCACCCTTGTCCTCTGCCCGGGGACTAGATTGGGACTTCCCAAATTTGCCCTCAAGGGAAGCGAAGGTGTTAAGTTTCCTGTCCCACTTTTGGGAGTTTGCTTTAGAAACACAAAGGTATCCGACTGATAGGCAGTTGAAAGGACTCCGGTCCTGCCTCCGGTGCCCTAGTCCCTCTGCCAGCCGGGACCCCGGACTTCCCAGCAGAGGGAAGACGTGGACGGAAGCAGAAAGCCCACCGGTCGCTCTGAGGAGGGCTGGGCAGGGGGCGGGGCGGACCTCTGTGACGCCACGGGCCACGCCCCTCTGGGAGAGTGCTGCGCCTGCGCCAGAACGGCTGTCTCACTCCCGGAAGTGGAGCGTCTGCAGAGCGCCGCTGGGTCTGGGTGCCCGGAGGCAGGAGCGCTCGCGGAGGTCGCCCGCCAGTCTCGACCGCCATGTCGGCCTTCGACACTAACCCCTTCGCGGACCCAGTGGATGTAAACCCCTTCCAGGTAGAGCCCCCAACTCATAGATCTCTTTAGTGCCAAGGGCCGCCGCCCGGGCCTCTTTCGCCAGACCCGGGAGACGTGGCGTAGGAGGGACGGGCCATCTGCCCAATGGGAGAGCGTGCTTTGAGGGCTGTCCTATCATAGGGTCTGGGGGGCGGGACTAGCAGCAGGTGGAACAGCAGAGGGGGCGGGGAACGGGGACCGGAGCAGGCACGATCGGACCCTTAAGGAGATCCCCTAGCTTCAGGGAGAGAAGCAATATGTGACTATCACATTCCTGCAGTCTTGGGAAGACACCTGTCTTGAGTCACCTTAGGAGAGGGGGTGACAGCAACATAATCAGGTGGAAGCCTCTGGTGAGATGGAGGAATGTGGGAAAAGCCCAAATCACATACCTCTCTCATCACCACCACTACTACCAGCCAAACTAGCGTATAAGGTGTAGGAAAGGCCGTGAGATTTGTTAGGAAAAGAAGAGTAGGAAGATAGCCCAAGTTCAAAAATGGCCTCGATAAGAATTCCACACCTTCCGCTGAGAGCACACGGGTGTTCTTCTTCTATGGGGAAAGTTAGCTCCAGAGCTCCTGTGCCTCTTGTTTCATGTCTGCTTAAACCCAGTTCTAGGGAAGCTTGTTTGTGCTGACTGGTTGATTTATGAGCCTTGATGTTCTGCTCTGTCAGGATGTCACCAGACACATTAACTCCTCTGGCTTGTCCTTTTTATTTTGGTCATTGGCAGCTTCAGAGTTTCCTGCAGGTGTCAGGGAGGTCCTTGGAGGGTCCGATTCACAGCATGAGTTTTTTTTTTTTTTTTTTTTGAGACAGAGTCTCACTGTGTTGCCCGGGCTAGAGTGCTGTGGCGTCATCTTAGCTCACAGCAACCTTAAACTCCTGGGCTCAAGCGATCCTCCTGCCTCAGCCTCCCGAGTAGCTGGGACTACAGGCACGTGCCACCATGCCCGGCTAGTTTTTTCTATATATTTTTAGTTGTCCAATTAATTTCTTTCTATTTTTAGTAGAGACAGGGTCTCACTCTTGCTCAGGCTGGTTTCGAACTCCTGAGCTCAAACAATCCACCCGCCTCAGCCTCCCAGAGAGCTAGGATTACAGGCGTGAGCCACCGCGCCCGGCCCACAGCATGAGTTTTCCCACCTTGAATCCCTTCAAGGGTCAGAGCAAAATCAAAGGATTTGACTTGAACTAAATAATTATATGCTGTCAGGAGAGTGAATATTTTATGCTTCTTTTTTGGTCTCAAGAAGGTGTCTTAGCCAACAGGAGCCCTCAAGGCAAATTCTGGTAGCTTGTTCCTTGTAATGTCAGGGAATTCTGAACATTCCTCGTGTAGCTTAATGCTTCTTGACAGAGCCTTTGGGAGGACCTTGTCTCTTATGTAAGGCAAACAGTCATTTCTATTTGTTGAGTAAAGAAAGAACATTTGCATTTTTTTCTGCCAGTGTCTTGGTAACTGTTTTGCTTTAATTAAAAAACTGCTGTATAATACCGATGTTTGGGTTTTAGTAAAGATTTAGTAACCTTTTGGTATGTGTGGTGTGATGATTTTCTTTCTTTTTTTTGTCGTGTCAGAATCAGAAATAAAATATCTGCTGCTGTCTGACAGTCAGAGGCAGTCATCTGTCCAAAGATGGAGAGAACTTTTCTCCACTGCTAGCAGTTCTGCCCTGAGTTCTGCCCTGTATTAATAGCTGCTTGAGAATTTTAAACCTCATCTCTGGCCCCAGAAATGACTGTGCAAACTGTTGTAGAAGTAACTTCTGCATGCAAGCAAGACAGTCTGTCCATCAGGTAGCCCCAGGATATGGCAGGACAGGAAGCAGCTGTGGTCCTGTCAACCAGCCACATCTGGTGGGAAGTCCTGTGTGGGAAGAAGAGAGCTGGCTGGCTGCAATTTTGCTCCTCCTCATCCTAGGCAGGGGTTTTCCTCTTGGTGCACAATTGTGTGGGGAGAAGCAGCTTTGGATGTGAGGTCCCGAGCTCCTTCCCCTGGTCAGAGCTGCACTCCCTTTCCTTAAGATGGTAGCATCTGCTTCTCTGACTGCCAGGGCTGGGACATTGGGAGGGTACAGCCCCGGGGAGACTGGGTGTGAGCCCAGCTTCATTTACTCAGGGTGTTGGCACAGAGCTCAGGACAGAGCAGGTAGAGAGGCAGTGGACTCAGAACCCATCACACCTAGTCAGACTCCAGAGCAGTTGTTTTTTTTCCATCACCCCATTTAATGTTGGATTACGAAGACATATTTAGTGTTCAGAATGCACGGCTAACTGTTATTCTAACCTCTTGAGTTGAGAAATGAGGATGGCACATGCCAGTCACCAGCTACTTAGCAGTAGGAAGGGGCAGACCCAGTCTCATTTCTAAGACAGTGCTGTTTCAAAGGGTTTTAAAGCTTAGACATTGGTATTAAACTGCCTTGGGGATATTTTAGGCTGCCTGAGGAAAGAATGTAAGATCATCACATTGTCACCATTCTTGAAATGACAGTACTAGTAGTGGTGAAAGTGACAGATTAGTATTAGCTAAGCTGCTTTTTTCCCCCAGTGTGAGGGGATGGAATAATACAGATTTTATTGTGCTTTTTAAAACAGTACTTTAAAGCAATGTGTGTTCTCAGTAATGCCAGTCCTGAAAAGTGCTCAGGGTTCTGTGGTCAGTTAGGTTTGGGAATTGCTACCTATTCTATTTTTCTTAAAGATCGACAAGGCCTGTTAGTTTTTTTTGTTGTTGTTGTTAGTTTGTTAAAGGCTCTGAGAAATCCTATGAAAAAGACATTTGCTCAGCTTTACTTGAACCAGCATTTCTCAGTTATTCAACCATGGAACCCTTCTTCTGCTCACTCTTGTGTCCCGAGAAACTCCGGTTGATTTCCTCATCCAAGGTTCTTTCTCCAGCTCCTGCTGCCCCACCCTGCACTGTGGGTGTGGGCTTTTGTGACCTCTTGCTTGCATGTAGTTATAATTGGGATATTAGAAAACTTCCTGCGAAGTGAGAGCCGTGAACAGAAAGTTACGAGCGTGCAGCAGAGGTTTACCAGACTCCTAGGAGGAAGCAGGAAGTGGCAAGGCGAGTGTGCCGATTTCACAACCTCCACTGACGCCCTGATTCCCCTGTTCATTGTGGCGCGTCTGCTCTGTGCCCTCTGGGTGTGTGGGCCCCTGCTTTGCCGTGATCCACGGTGTCTGCTCCCACAAGTTCCTCATAGAGGCCCCTCAGGGGACGAAGGGGTGGAAAGCTAAAGGGGGGCGTTGTCCTGTCCATTTTCCAGCAGTCCACTAGAAATCAGACCACCCAGGCAAATGCCAGGGCTGCTTTCCCACTCGGCACTTCTGCCAGACTGGCCCGGCAGACAGCAGCGCTCTCAAGGAGGGGGCGTGGAATGGGTGGTGTGGAACAGAGGAAGCCTTCCAGTGTGCGGGAGCTGCCAAGTCACACAGCATGGCCGTCACACATTGCCTCCTTGCAGTTCAAAGATAATCTTAGTGGTGTGGCTGCTTCCCAAGATTGGGAACATTTCTCTTCTGTGAGAGGAGAAAATGGTGGCAGAAACGTGATTTGGGTGTGAACAAAGTTACATGAAGTTCCCTGCATAGACACTGGGGCTCTGCCACTTCCCAGAGAGGGTCGGCTCCAGCTTGACTATAACTTCGAGGATTCTTGGAACCACCAGATGGACCTAGTAGAACTTTGCTGTGTAACAGGAGCAGCGTCTCAAGAAATTTGAAAATGGCAGTGTTCTTACAGCTTAACTCTGCTTCTAGACAGCTCCCCAGATGGGGTATTCCCACCTTTACGGTTGGCACGTGGAGCTAGGCTGGGCGTTAGAAAGAACGTGGGTGGAGAGACAGAGGAACTATGTTCTTAACTTCTTAGTTGTCTTTGGTGCCACTTGGTGTAGGATAATCCTGTGTTCAGAGAAATGGTAATATTTAACCAGGGCAAACATGGAGCACTTGCTGCGCATTCAGAGAAGAGTGCCGCGCGCATTGGCAAGGAGTGACCCGTCCAGCGAGTGCTGCTTTGAGATGCTCGCATGTCAGCGCACGTCACTGAGGCACTGCCGCTCCGCAGGCCTGTGTAGGAGACCAAGGTGAATGGGCGCAGCGCGTGGTCAGCCGCCTGCCAGAGCTGATCCGGCGGGGGAGCTAGGAAGTGCTCACTGTTAATTGCAACCCAGCACCTCCTCCGTCTCAGACCCTGTGCTCTCTGGGGGAGCCATGAGGTCCATCCGCTGCTTGTGACACGTGCTTATTTGAAATTAGTCTCTTGAAATTCTCTCCATGCTTGGCCTCTTTGCTCCTGATAACTCTCACCTACCTCAGCCTGTCTTCACTTTCTGTCTCGTACATCTAGGAGTAGCCCACAGTTCTGTCCTCCACCCTGTCCTCACTTTCTGCCTTCACATCTCTGGCTTCAGAATAGCACCACACACCAGCCTGTGGCCCTCACCTCTCTCCTTAGCTTCAAACCAGTATTTCCAACTCACACCTGGGCCTTCCCAACCGTTCCAACCAGATATGTTCCACAGGTATCTCCAGTCCAACCCAGTGTCTTCTCGAATCTTCTTCTTACCCTCCTGCACCCATCCCTGAAAAGCCTGTTCCTCCTCCCCTGTGAGCGTTTATCTTGGGCACTCAATTCCTTCCTTCCCTTCCCTTTCCTGCCCTGCAGTCCTTCCATTCCCCCTGGAAACACAGAGAGTTCCTGAGCCCGTGGCATTGGCCTGAGGAGGGTCTCTGGACCCCCTCCCCGTTTCTCCTTCCCCAGCTGCCATCCTGAAGTTCACTCCTAACTGTCACCCATGGCAACAGTTGTGTCCCAGCCAGTCTCCCCACCATCATCCTCCCATGTGCATTGCACTCTCCTCACTGCTGTCAGAGCGATCATGGCAATCTCTAGTTGTTCCCCATTGCCTGTAGGGTCAAGTCCAAACTCCTACAGTCTGGCCCCACCTCTGCAGGCTGGTTCCCTGATACTCCTGGCTCCT